GGGGGGCTGCAGTGATGGTTGACTTTCTACAACTTTCTCCCATCTCCCGACTGCATCTCTGGAGCTCAGCCACAGTCATCTTTGGGTTCTTCTGTACCTCTCTCACCAAGGCTCTTCTCCCCTGATAGCTCAGTTTGGCCGGACGGCCAGCTCTAGGAAGGGTTCTGGTCGTCCCAAACGTCTTCCATTTAAGGATTATGGAGGCCACTGTGCTCTTAGGAACCTTAAGTGCAGCAGAAATTTTTTTGTAACCTTGGCCAGATCTGTGCCTTGCCACAATTCTGTCTGAGCTCTTCAGGCAGTTCCTTTGACCTCATGATTCTCATTTGCTCTGACATGCACTGTGAGCTGTAGGGTCTTGTATAGACAGGTGTGTGGCTTTCCTAATCACGTTCAATCAGTATAATCAAACACAGCTGGACTCAAATGAAGGTGTAGAACCATCTCAGGGATGATCAGCAGAAATGGACAGCACCTAAGTTAAATATATGAGTGTCACAGCAAAGGGTCTGAATACTTATGACCATGTGATATTTCAGTTTTTCTTTTTTAATAAATCTGCAAAAATGTCAAAAAATCTGTGTTTTTCTGTCAATATGGGGTGCTGTGTGTACATTAATGAGGAAAAAAATGAACTTAAATGATTTTAGCATATGGCTGCAATATAACAAAGAGTGAAAAATTTAAGGGGGTCTGAATACTTTCCGTACCCACCGTATATGGATGTGCTAAAAGAGGACATGAAGTTAATTGGGGTGAGAGTAGAGGATGCTGAGGATAGAGTTAGGTGGAAATAGATGATTCAATTTGGCAACCCCTAATGGGAACAGCTGAAACCTGGGCTTTCAGCTTTTCAGAGTAGGTCCTCTTTGCTGCTCTGATCTCCCTTGTCAGTGTGTTCCTAGCCTGGCTGTACAGAGTCCTGTCCCCACACCTGTAAGCCTCCTCTTTGGCATGACAAAGTTGCTTGAGTCTGGCTGTAAACCAGGGCTTGTTGTTGTTGTATGTGCACACACGCATCCTCATAAAAGCTGATATAAGATGTCACAGTGTCAGTGAGTTCATCCAGGTTTGTAGCTGCAGTCTCAAATACACTCCAGTCTGTGCAGTCAAAGCAGGCCTGTAGCTCTGACTTAGCCTCCCCAGTCCAGCTCTTCACTGTTTTGACTACAGGCTTCACACCTTTTAGTTTCTGCCTGTAGGTTGGAATAAGACGGACCATACAGTGAACAGAGAGTCCGAGGGCTGTGCGGGGGACAGAGTGATAGGCGTCTTTTATTGTTGTGTAGCAGTGGTCCAGTGTGACTTTGTCCCTGGTGGGACAGGTGATGTGCTTGTCTGTATTTGGGCAGTTCGTGGGAGAGATTTGCTCTGTTAATGTCCCCTAGAACAATGAGTGGAGAGTCGGGATGTTCTAGCTCCAGGCTAGTTATCAGTTCTGCTAGGCGCCGTAGCGTGCTAGAGTGGGCCTGTGCTCTTATGTGCACTCCCATTAGAATGAAACTGTAAACATCAGTAAATTTCTTATCAGGGAATTAAGGCAATAATGGTTCTGAGAATGGCCTCACCTGTATAAAGTAACACCAAAACAAATGCCTGAAAAAGGCACACAGACCATAATCTATCCCAGTATTCCAGCCATCAACAGCCTGCAATAGCTAGGCTGCATAACTAACCACACTGTTACAGCTCAGTGGTAAAATAGGACAGCATATATTTAAGAGGAAGTCAAAAAGAACAGATCCAAAAGAGGATTTGGGGGAAAAAAAAACAGGGGTGGTGAACAAGCAGCAAGCAAAAAAAAAGATGTGAAAGTTTTATTTTCTTTTTAGAAACAACTTTTGATATTCTCAAGGTTAATGGGCCCTTCATCCCAAACAGACACTCAGAGGCTGGACAAACAACAACAGCATACAAACAAGTGCTGTTTCGTGCAGTATCCAAATGCCAGACCTCTAAAAAATAACCTTGTATTTACTTAATGACAGAGGTGTTACTAGCATTTTTACAGAATATATACTATACATGTATTAGTGTATATTATACATTTCCTATCATATGAGAATGTCTCCCTCTGTAAATAAATAAAACTGAACTGCGTGTGCGTATAAACACAGTTACTAACTTATTGTACAGATGAAAGGCAGATAAGTTTATCACTCTGCCCCTTGAAAGTGTTACTGCTGGAGGTTAGGTTAGTTCTTTATCTCACAATGTCTTGATATTGTTCTTTGCTTTCTGATTAGACAGCATAAGAGCTAAACATGCAGATTTTAATAGGGCAACACAATAAAATAAGTACCTTAAAACTAGCCTGTAGTTATTAAGTACTTAGTGATGATGAGTACAGAATTTCACTAAAAGCTGGTCCAGTCTACTGCATACAAGATATCAATGCAACAGCTCCAGCCACAAGATATATTACAATGTGTAGTTACAGGTGCACAATATAAAGAGATACTATTAGATAAAGGAAAAAACTTTGAAAAGAAGAACATCTGACCTGCTTGTTCCTGAGAGATAGTGACAGTTGGGAGAGAGGAGATCTTCTCTTTCTCTGCCGGAGGAGGTCCTGTGTTCTCCAACTGACCTAGTAACTACACACACACACACACACACACACACACACACACACACACACACAGTAAACTGAAGAGAAATTAAAAGGTGACAGGTACACAACGTTTGTACAAAGTTATATTAGGTTTAGGCTTACCTGTGTTATCACAGCGTCTAACCCTCCCTGTCCCCAGGCGTAATCACCAGGGTTAGAGTGCAGCATCCCGGTCCTGAAAGAGACAGACACCACATGTTAATGGGAAACAGTACTGTCATAGCAGTAACATTGTGATGCTACTGAACACTCATCTTACCATGAGAGGGGAGGTGAGCCAGGGACTCCAGAGTTGGCAAAAAGGCCAGCAAGAAACTGCTGTACAATCCTGAGAAATAGAAAACGACTAGTGTCACTGCCAAAAATAAAAACAGTTAGGATTTTAAATAGCGCTGTTGTTATTACAAGTGGGAGTATGTAAGGCAGTGAAAAGAGTAAGGAAGATGAAGAAGGCAGGAGTTGGTTACTCACCCTTCCACAGCAGGCGAGCGGTCTGGCCTGCTGCTGCCTCTGGACCGGTATCTCCTCTGGCTGTGCAAGCGAGGGGGACGTCCTGGTCCCCAGTGCTCCCCAGCTCCTAGTAGTCCCCCCATCGGTCCCCCTAGTCCCGTTGGGACTGACCCCCCAATTGGTCCCCCTCCCAAGCCCCCCAGGTCACTGAGACCTCCCAGGCGTCCTCGAGGGAGCCGAGGGTCTGAGTCAGGGGTGTCACTGTCTGTTAAAAATGGCCGCTCCAGTAACAACAGGTGCCATAGCTACAGGGATGTTGGGATGGCACAGGGTAGAAGACAGACAAGAATTTGAAGGGTGAAGGAGTTTAAGATGGAAAGTGTGGATATGGAAAGCAATGACAGAACAGGAGAAGGCAGGGGGAAGAAAAGGCCTACGTTAATCAAAGCACATAATTGAGTACAATCAACCTCCCCACACTATACCCCAAATCCCTCAGACTAGCTCGTACCTCTGCAAACTGTGTGGCTGTGTCATCTATCCCGTTAGCGCCACCCTCTAGGAGACTGAGGGAAACAGTGCACAAGGGGACAAAAGACACATTAGTAGCAACATCCAAAGAACAGCTTAAGTGTTAGCCTGGGACAAAACTGCAGATCAGCCTCCAACAGCAAAATTTGTAGGTCATTGTAAATAAGCTAAAGGAAATATGTAACAGAACATTTTACTGTTATGTTCCAACACTATTAACACTATCAGGTCTTAACATCTTGGGTTGTCTAGACAAATAGTGCACAGCAGATTCCCAGAATAATAATCCCTTACCTGGAGTCTTCTGTCACTTCCTCTATGAAACCTGAGTCACATCTTGGACAGATGTACTCCTGGAAAAAGCCACAAGGTTTGGAAAAATTAATATCAAAATAATAATAATTTCCTAGAACTCAAGGTGACATATTCAAATGTTGTTTTGTCTGACCAAAAATCCAAAACCGTAAGATATTCAGTTAACAATGATACTGCCATTTTTGTTTGAAAAATGACTGAAACAAATATCTGATTATCAAAGTAGCTGCAGATTAATTTTCTGTCAGTCGACTACTTGGTAGAATAATTCAGCTACATTATATGACCTACTGAATTATGATTTTGTTATCCATAATTACAGGAAAGCTACAGTTTTTGTTTTACACATATGCAAAGTTTTCTCTGGTGTAAAGCATAAGAAATGAACAAACTTCACCGCACTGAATATCCCTTTTATTTAAGTAAATTCCATTCAGCATTTACCATATTGTGATACAGTGATAATTGGAAAACCGTCTAAAATGAATCAGCCAGTCCTAGAGGGGACTCACAAGACATCATAAAGACCATTTAATGACTGGCTTTGTCAACAAAAGAACAGTTTTTCTTTGAGAGAGTAATATCAGTCAGATTTGTGTGACAGCATGTGTTTTATGAATGTAACCCAGGAGGTAGAGCTGGTCTACCAGCCACACCTAAAATGTGCAGTGTTTCATAAATAAAAAACAAAACAAAACAAAACACTGCAACAGACAGAATGAGGAAAACACTACCGCTACTTGGAAAAGCTGGACCATATGTTCTTCCCTCAGTATAAGCCAGGGTCTCTCAACTAATTTAACATACAAAAAGAGGTGTGAGAAAAAACAGAGATACATTGGTTTTATAACATATATTAATGAGAGAATTAGGTCACTTAATATCAGCTTTCTTGACCTGTCCAGGGTATACCCCACCTCTCGCCCAATGTCAGCTGGGATTGGCTCCAGCCCGACCCCCGCGAGACCTCTTCAGGATAAGCGGTATAAATAATGGATGGAATATCATATTTCTATATTATATTATAAATGCATATTATACAGTATTTGGAGCTCACATGACAATCTAACGCCCTCTATTAGTTTGGTTTATAAAAATATGGACATCTAAAAACAGTCACCAATAAAAATGGCTGAGACGCCCTAAATCAGCTTCTGTCATTTGTGTCTCATTTACTCACAGAAAGATTATCCTATCGGTTGTATAAATGGATGCACAACTGAAAGACGGCCCTGGGATATACTGTAGTCATGTGGAGTGATACGCTCGGGTGTTGCAGTCACTTGGCTCAGTGAAGACATTCCACAGGATAGTGTGTGCCTGAGACAAGCTGGCCAGTTTAGAGTCAGTGACAGGGAAGGCTGAAATTACCCTCAGTCAAACCATAAAAATAAAGATTCAGTCTGACAAGATAATTTGGCTGACTGCCTTCAGTGATGCAATGCCTGTGAGCCACATAAACAATGCCAGTTTATTTAGCATTTTTGTCAGTCTAATTCATATCAATCAAAACAGACTATTTTTATACATAATACATTTATTTTCTGTTAACCCACCAATCATTCTATCATTTATAGATAAATAATTTGGTTGATATAATATAAAAACCCCAAATCCCCATCACAACCTCCTATTACTTGTGACAGACTAAAACCCAAAAACATTTAATTAGCTACCATTATGGATGAAGAAAACCAGCAAATCCAAAACATTTCAGGTGCTGGCACTACAAAATATTGTCATTTTTGCAGCAAAATGAATTTCCGTCACTCTACTAACTTATTAACCGAATAATCCCTTAATGTTTAGTAAGTTTTCAGATTGAATCAACAGAACCACAAACAATCGCTTTCACAACAATAGACCTCTCTAAACCAGTTTCATCAAAAGGCCAACATAAGAACCTTTATGAAACTAGGATTTCCTGAATGACCATTGTAATACACTGGCTACTCAATGTAAATGGGAATCCTTCATAATTGTCTAGAATGTAGAAAACACATACTGGGGTAGTAAAATTCTAGGTAAATAAATGTAAGTCAAATTACATTCATACATTACATTGGGCTACTCTCACATTTGACTTCAAAACTGAAACTAAACATGTTTATGCTCCTGAAAAAGCCCCAGCTCGTCTGGCCAAGAGTGTGTTTTAAGTATGAACAAAGCTGAAAACGAAAATGCCAAGTATCAAACAAATTAAATATTATCTAAATAAATGACAAGGTAACACAGTCTTTTCTCTCTCAGCTGTGTTTTTGTGTAAAACACATCCCAATGCTATCAAAGGAAAGCTTAAAGCACGGTGCGTTGACAAAACTGTCTTAAACATGCAAACTAATAAAACTTGTAGATGTCTGCTTCTGATGTGTGATTTTTGACGGAGATATCTACGAGTGTCACGAGTTTATTTAGTGAGTTAACAACAAACGCTAAAAGCTGTTAGCAGGCTAGCTAGCATTTAGCTGTAGCAGCCAAGCGAAACAAACGATATTTCGGAGAAAGGCTGACTTGTCAACCGCACGTATTAAACAGAACAGTACGAAAAATAACGAATGAAACACGTCTGTCTTACCGGGAGTTTGGGGTTTACTTCTCCCTTACAACAGTGACAGAAAAACCGATGCGGGGGAACAGCCGCAGCCTCCGCCATCTTCCCCAGAACAGCACAAACACTGACGTAGGTCCTCCACTGACTAAAGCCTGCTGTCCACCTCCAGCCCAGCATGCACCGCACAACCCCAACGAGAGGAGCCTTTGAGCGGAGGTGCCTTACCAGTTGGTGGCGGTAATACACCAAGTCGTTGTTTGACCTGCAATAAACCTCAGAGGAAAAAAAGGAAGAAGAATAACGGAAGTGCTCATGTGTTGTCAACGAGAAGTCGCATGTGTTTAATCTTCAGTGTTTAGGTTACCCTTTTCCTACAAACTTGTTTACCGAAAAGGTTTGTGAAAAACAGTAAACTGATGGCTGACGTAATGTTCAGGTGTAAACGTTATCTAGTAGCTAAAATGCATAGTGTTTGCCCTGTCTGATTACTTGTAGTTATGCGGCAGTAACAATAAGCTTACTGGGTTTTTATTTGAAAAACTACGCACTTCTGTTCTCATTATTTATTACTGAACGTTTGACATTGCTCATTGTTAGCACCTCTGTGTAACTTAGCGTTCTGCTTATACTGTCAACATACTGTATATTGACAGTGCATATACTGCACACATAAAAGGCACATTAATGTTACATTAATGTTCTTGCAGTGCTTTTTGCGGATAGTTGCCCCGTTATAGAGTGTCTGTACATCATTGTGTTCAGTGACGCTTTAATTTACAAGCTCCCAACATTAGTGCCTTATTAAATCCAGATTTATGTACAGCATTACAGTATTACAGTGTTATATTGATTTTTGTGTTGATGGTGCCTTATTAAATCCAGATGTATATACAGCATTACAGTGTATACTGTTTGTTAAAAACACATAAACAGTGTTATATTGATTTTTGTGTTGATTGGGTGACTAATACAGGCAGTTTGAAAACTTGTAGTGAGTCGTCTTCTTCTTCTTCCTGTGTGCGTGTGTCTGTGCAGATGACTGCCCAGGAGGTGCGTCTGTGTGGTCTGCTGCTGCGAGAGCATTTTGGTGAAGTGGTGGAGAAAGTGGGAACACACCTGCTGAGAAATGGAACACAGAATTTAAGAACCATCATTCATGAGACTGGCATCCCAGTGGACTTGGTACCACTGCTTGTCTTTCTTTTTCTGGGCTTGTCGCTGCTTTATACTGTGGAAATGTTTTTATCCATTTCCCCAGCATTTTCAAGCAGAGATTAACTGTTCACCCTTTTGTAGTTATGTTAGCGAGCCATTTTAGATGCAATATGTGGTGCATTTAAACACACTGTAGTTTCCTGGTTTCTTTACACAGCAGGAGAGCCTTAGCATGTTCTTGCATCACCCATTTAAATACAAAACATGGTATCTTTTTACATGATAGGTTCTGCTGCAGAGACCTGACTACATGGTAGTTTGTAGACTGAGCTAAGGTCGTTTTAGTACAGGAAGGCCTTATTTTTGAAAACACTGGTGGAGTATGAGGAGCACAATACATGCAAATATATTATGTGCAATATACAAAAACATTTTCTGCTTTAATCTTATATATGATATGATTTTTGTGTGCATGTAAACAAATTCATCATGGTAAAGCAATTCTTCCCTCCCCCTTTCTGTCTACCCAGGTAAAGAAGTCTCTGTGTGTGCTTGTGCAGCATGGAGCCTGTGTGTTCAGCTCAGGCCGTAAAGGACCTGGGAGCCCTACAGAGTATCAGACCGGCTGTGATCGGATCCTGAGAATTCTGCGATACCCACGTTACATCTACACTTCTAAAACACTGTATGGCGACACTGGAGAGCTAATCATAGAGGAGTTACTACAGCGAGGTCATATGACCATGAGCAGTACAGTGAAGACTGTGGCTGACCGCCTCACACAGAACATGGAGGGTCAGTATCTTGGTGCATGTAGCAATCAAAGAGGCTCTCGAAAAACATCAGTATAGCCCAAAGTTTACTACACCTAACTATCATTGTAGTTATTAGAGGCAGAAAATGCAAACTGTGGGTGGAGGCAGAAGGAGCAAGTGGGAACAAACATGAATGACTGCAATAGGCTATGATACCTGTCAATTAAGAAAACAAGACCCAAAAACTATACTCCTCTAAAGCTTTTAAATCTTAATGGAGCACTTCTTCCAAATGATCACTACGACAGATGCTGCTTCACCTTAACAAAAGGACTCAAATATGATGATTTAGTCGGTAAACACGGGATTTGTGTGGAATGTAACACAAGGAATATCATTCAAGATTTTTTCATAACAGTCTTTCTGATGTTGTAGAGGGACACAGCATGGATTACAGTGAAGTGTCTTCCACCTTCTCCAAACTGGTGGAGACTCATTTTCTTCAGCGCTGCCCTCCACTTGCACAAAAAACAGATGTGATGACTACAGCTACTCCTGCTACTCCTGGTGCCCCTGCTGACCCGGTTAGCACCACTCTGTCTACACCAGAGAGTTTCCCTGACTGCTACAAGGTACCTCACGTGACACTCATCGGGCGAGGCAAGCGTCAACTCTCCGGTGACGATGGAGAGGACCAAAAGAATGCAAAGAAGGCTCGGCTAGATTCAGATGTGAGATGTTTTTACCTTAAATAACACAGCTGTCTTTTTGTTTTGTTAAACCTTCTCATAATTTTTCTCACTTATTTTACATATTGCATATAATATCTTTTTCTCCATCTCTTTAATATGCTCTCTGTCTCTCTTTTGTCCAGACACATGGTGACGAGGGGATTTACTGGCAGGTGAACTTTGAGAGGTTCCACCTCCACTTCAGAGACCAGGCTATCATCAGTGCTGTAGCTAATAAACTGGACCAGGTCAGGTGTACACATGGTTTACACACAGTTTAATCTGTGTTCATTTGCTAGGAACACGTAGATAGCATAAAACCATGAACACATGCACAACTGAAATCCCTGCTTCACCAACTCACTAACGTCAAAACACAGTTATGTAAATAAGGCACAATCTGGAAAGCAGAGTGTTAGAAAAATTTAACAAGGTGATACGAAGGAATACTGAGACTTTTGAAAATTATCAAGGTGTCTTTTAATTATTCTTGCAAGAAGGAGCACTACATCAACACTCAAGAAGTCTTTGACAATAATGATCAGAGAAGCAATCTCTGTGAACGCTACTTATACTATTCATTGCAATGTTATTGCTCTTTGTTCTGCCAGGCAAGCATTTGTCTCCCCCAGTCGTGGGGGTCAGGTCAGCAAGTATGCTTTCTTATCAGGAGATTGCCTGTCCTGATCTCCCAACCTAAAGAGCAATAAATGTTTACAGTGCCTTGCGAAAGTATTCGGCCCCCTTGAACTTTGCGACCTTTTGCCACATTTCAGGCTTCAAACATAAAGATATAAAACTGTAATTTTTTGTGAAGAATCAACAACAAGTGGGACACAATCATGAAGTGGAACGAAATTTATTGGATATTTCAAACTTTTTTAACAAATAAAAAACTGAAAAATTGGGCGTGCAAAATTATTCAGCCCCCTTAAGTTAATACTTTGTAGCGCCACCTTTTGCTGCGATTACAGCTGTAAGTCACTTGGGGTATGTCTCTATCAGTTTTGCACATCGAGAGACTGAAATATTTGCCCATTCCTCCTTGCAAACCAGCTCGAGCTCAGTGAGGTTGGATGGAGAGCATTTGTGAACAGCAGTTTTCAGTTCTTTCCACAGATTCTCGATTGGATTCAGGTCTGGACTTTGACTTGGCCATTCTAACACCTGGATATGTTTAGTTTTGAACCATTCCATTGTAGATTTTGCTTTATGTTTTGAATCATTGTCTTGTTGGAAGACAAATCTCCATCCCAGTCTCAGGTCTTTTGCAGACTCCATCAGGTTTCCTTCCAGAATAGTCCTGTATTTGGCTCCATCCATCTTCCCATCAATTTTAACCACCTTCCCTGTCCCTGCTGAAGAAAAGCAGGCCCAAACCATGATGCTGCCACCACCATGTTTGACAGTGGGGATGGTGTGTTCAGGGTGATGAGCTGTGTTGCTTTTACGCCAAACATAACGTTTTGCATTGTTGCCAAAAAGTTCGATTTTGGTTTCATCTGACCAGAGCACCTTCTTCCACATGTTTGGTGTGTCTCCCAGGTGGCTTGTGGCAAACTTTAAACAACACTTTTTATGGATATCTTTAAGAAATGGCTTTCTTCTTGCCACTCTTCCATAAAGGCCAGATTTGTGCAGTATACGACTGATTGTTGTCCTATGGACAGAGTCTCCCACCTCAGCTGTAGATCGCTGCAGTTCATCCAGAGTGATCATGGGCCGCTTGGCTGCATCTCTGATCAGTCTTCTCCTTGTATGAGCTGAAAGTTTAGAGGGACGGCCAGGTCTTGGTAGATTTGCAGTGGTCTGATACTCCTTCCATTTCAATATTATCACTTGCACAGTGCTCCTTGGGATGTTTAAAGCTTGGGAAATCTTTTTATATCCAAATCCGGCTTTAAACTTCTCCACAACAGTATCTCAGACCTGCCTGGTGTGTTCCTTGTTCTTCATGATGCTCTATGCGCTTTAAACGGACCTCTGAGACTATCACAGTGCAGGTGCATTTATACGGAGACTTGATTACACACAGGTGGATTCTATTTATCATCATTAGTCATTTAGGTCAACATTGGATCATTCAGAGATCCTCACTGAACTTCTGGAGAGAGTTTGCTGCACTGAAAGTAAAGGGGCTGAATAATTTTGCACGCCCAATTATTCAGTTTTTTATTTGTTAAAAAAGTTTGAAATATCCAATAAATTTCGTTCCACTTCATGATTGTGTCCCACTTGTTGTTGATTCTTCACAAAAAATTACAGTTTTATATCTTTATGTTTGAAGCCTGAAATGTGGCAAAAGGTCGCAAAGTTCAAGGGGGCCGAATACTTTCGCAAGGCACTGTACATGCAGTTTCCTGACTTCTTTAAGCTAAAGAGCATCCTTTTACAATGACTGCACAACATTTGTTCATGGTAAACATTAGCTACACACAAGAAGGAAATGTCCAGTAGTTTTCCATCACAGAGGGTCAACCATCGGTCTGTATGCTACATATATCTGAACCATGCCTCCTTTATATGCAAGGTTAAGTTTGTATTGCGATTGTTTGTGATTTCAATGATTTATCATCTCTCTATATTCTTTCCAACTCAGACTACCAGTGAGATAGTGAGGACTATGCTGAGGATGAGTGAGGTGATGACTGCACCCACAGCCACCTGCACAAAGCCCCTGTCAGCCAATGAGATCTTCAGGTCCCTCCCAACCAGCTACAACATCAGCAGACCCATCTTAGACCAGTACCTCACTCTGCTGGTGGATGATCCGGTTTGAGGCACACATTACTTTTTCCATTTTTCAGTTTTCTCATCAAGAAATGTTTAGATATACTTGTGTCTTTCATTTCCTAGATGGAGTTTGTGGGGAAGGCTGGTGAAAGTGGAGGAGGGGTGTATGTTGTCAGTATCCTTTTTAATGTAGATGGTCACAGGCATGTTTTCAAAAACCAACACTTTGCTGTTGTTTTGCCTCCATGCTGGCGACAGGTATGGCCAGAGGCACCATGTTTTTGGATCGTCCGTCCTTCTGTCTGTACATCTGTCCCTCCCATGCGGTGTCTCAAGAATGACTTGAGGGAATTTTTTCACATATGGCACAAGCATCCACTTGGACTCAAGGATGAACTGATTATATGTGACAAAGCTCTTTATCAGTCCTCTGTACTCCTCTGTAAAAGTAGTCCCTAAGTGAAGGCAGCGTGTTTCTAACCTGAAATTATTCACTAGACTCATACATGACACTATGGTGATAACTCCCATTTTGCAAAAAACAAACAAAAAAAACTTTAATTTATCACACACAAGGTGTGGATGCTTTCTTTAACTCCTCTCTCAGATCTGCACAGAGCGCTGGCCAATCTGGCCCGGGCCACACTTGAGTCTGTTGTTCAGGAGAGGTAAGTGAAGGCATTTCAGTTTGTAAATACATGTGATTAAAAAGCTCATTATTAATGTATTCCCTTGAACTATACCATCAGATTCGGCTCCCGTTCAGCACGCATCTTCCGTCTGTTGCTAAGGAAACGTCACCTGGAGCAGAAGCAGGTGGAGGATTTTGCCATGATTCCAGCCAAGGAGGCTAAAGACATGCTGTACACACTGCTTTCACAAAACCTGGTCCAGCTACAGGTACTGTAAGTGAATGATGGATTGTGAATTGATTTCAAATCATAATTTAGGTTTTGGCTTAATGCACTTAACCACAACATGAAAAAGCTGCCAAAACAGTTGTCATTCTTAACTGCTACCACAAACTACAGACAGAGGACAGACTGCTCGCTGTGCTGTCTTTAGAAATCCAAACCAAAACTCTTCAAGCCAATTTTTTGTGTATTAACATGAGGAATTGCAGAAAAGTAGGACAAAGTAGGAGCAGTCCAAAATTTGAAAATTATTTGGCACGTTTTTTAAGATCCACTAAGTTAAACCCACACTTTAAAATGCTGCAGTCTTTCTGTGAACAGTGAATCGAGGAGAGGTTAATACAAGTGACTGGCCAATTCAGTGACATTGATTGAGAGGGCACACTAGAGGAGTTATCAAATTAAAGGGAGCAGTCACAGGTTTTTAGTCTTTAATCTACCTACGCATCTTCTCTTAACTGCTGTTATATTTCTCATTTTTCAGGAAATCCCAAAGACACCAGACTATGCTCCCTCTCGCACCTTTTATCTTTACACCGTTAGCCAACTCCCAACTGCAAGAATGCTGCTACAGAACTGCTACAAGGTAAACCAGTGAACATGAGTTGTTCTTATCTGTTCATGTGGTTTCTGCCTTTACTGATTTGTTGTTTGCACTGTTTATTTTTCTCTGGCCAGACAGTGGCCAACCTCATAGAGAGACGACTGTTCGAGACCAAAGACAGCAAGTGAGTGTATGAATAATGAGTCAATGTCCTCATGTTGTTTCACTGCCACAGCAAGTCAAATAATGTCATTGGATCTGCTTTAAAAGTTGTACAGCTCACATACTGTGCCACAGATGAACGTATTGATTGGTTTTATGTTTGACTGACAGGCGTCTGCTAGAGAAATCCCAGCGAATCGAGGCCATCCTGGCATCTCTGCAGGCCAGCGGCGCTGAACCTGAACAGCTGACAGAAGTCGAGGAGATGATCACCGCTCCTGAAAAGCAGCAGCTTGAATCCTTACGGGTTCACATCAACAAGTAGGAGCACAAAACTACAATTCCCTTTTCTACAGATGTTAGTCACCTCTTTGCTCTGGAGGTGTTCATTGTTCTCACCATTTTCCTTTTTCCCCTCCAGGTTAGATTCAGCAGAGAATCAGGTAGATGAAACTATCTTTCTGCTAGAGTCCTACATCAGCTCCACTGCCACACTCACAAGTTGAGTCAGATGTACGAGCATTACAACTCATCCAAAAGACGGAGGGAACTGTTGTCACTACTTTTTATGAGTGAATGCTGTCAAGTGTGAGTGTTTTATAGCTTACAACTGGGATGTTTCAGTTTGAAGTGGAATAAAATTTTAATTTTTATTACATGCATCAGCAAATGTATAAACAGTACAAGAATATTTCTTTTCAACACTTTTAATTCCATAATTGAACAAATGCAAAACTGTAGGACAAACATAGGAAAAAGTTATCTTTTCAAATGTAAAACGATGAAGATGTCTTGTCTAATAAATAGGAGTAATGCAATTTGGTTTTTCCTGAAATTTAGAAAAAGATTATTTACATAAGTGCTCCTGACCCTGGAGACAGCAGGCAGTGCAGTTCTGTTGGATCCTTGTAATGCTGCCTTTGGTCCCGGAGGTCCCTGTTGCAGCTGCATCTTGGGTCCAAGCCCAGGACTATCTCTGTGCCTGGTAGGAGGTGGACTCAGTTCATCTGGTAGTCACTGAGGCAAATGACTGTTGTCATGGCAGCAGAAGCTGAGCTCAGTCCTCATGGTTCTCATCCTCTCTTCTGTGTTTCCGTGTGAAGAACCCGAGCTGATGAGACGTGAGATGGAGACTGACTTTCTATCATAACACATTCTGATGTTTTTCTGAAGAAATGTGAAGTGATATCAAATATGAAGATACCTTCCACAGTATGAAAATGATAAGGGCCAGTAGCAGTAATCCTCCGATGATGCTACCAATCAGAATCCAGAGTGAGATTGGAATAGCTCGGCCTTTCAGCACCTCCAGCACAGTCTACAGAAAAACAGGTGAAGGGAGACATTTATACAAAGTGAATGCTCTTCCTATTCTGCCACTGAGAATCTTGCTGTGGCCTTACCTCCCTCCAGTCTGTTCCTGAACCCAGAGTGAAGGGGTTAGTCTCCTGAGCTGTGACGCGATAGGCACCTATTATCCTCGCTGACTTAAATTTGGCCTATAAAAGGGGACGTGTTTGTCATATGGCTAAAGAAATGGGCTGAAATGAGCATCTGTGTTTGGGTGTTTATCTTACTTGTCTGAAAAAATCATCATGAACTCTGCGGCTGACACGAACGACTGCAGCCTGCCCTCTCTGAAGCTGCCGGACTTCACACACCACCTCAGTGCACCATGACCTGCTGCAATTCTAGACATGTCGGCATAAATGTTAAACGACATGTTAACTTGTATGGTGATGCTGCATGCTGTTCAGTAGCTGCTGTGCTGCTGGAAGCCTCACCAGTATGTCATTGTGCATCATGTCGTCAGGATGGAGGGGGCGTACATCTCTCTGTCTGGCCTTCAGCTGGGCCAGATTACTCAGCACGCTGCAGTTCACCTCTGTGGCCTACGGGACATTTTAAATATGTCAGCTGTGATCTAAAAGGGAGGCACACTCTCAGGCAGAAACACTACTCACGTTGTATGAGAAGACATCTGTGACAGTCATGAAGACTTTGTCTTCTGCAGCCACAGACGGCAGATGCAGCCTCAGTTCCAAATTACTTACAGAGTAACAGCCAAGATTCTGCAGCTACAAACACAAACAAATAATACTCCCGTTTTGCCTTGTTTTATTTCTAGAGTGATAATTCATTTGATTACTATGAGCATGTTACCCTGAGGTGTGTGTAGAACTCTGGTCCAGTTGCCTCTGACACTGTCCGAGTGGGGTGGACCTCATATCGGTTCAGGTTTGAGTCACTGCACAGAAAAACAGGAAATATGCTGCACCAAATACACATAAAACAAAGGGATATCTGTTGTATATGCTGTACACATACCTGCTGACAAACAGGTCTGGCTCATACTGAACAAAACTCTGCAGCTGAATACTGTTGTCCCCTAAAGTATTTTCTCTCTCCACACTGTCACTGTAGGACAAACAAGGGGTTACATAAATTCCGGTGACTTTCAAAGAAGGAAAAAATATTTCCAGCGTGTAGCTGTGGAACTAAAAAAGTTCTGTATGTCTATAAAATGTGTGCAAGATGTATTCACTACTTCCTGCTTTAGTGATCTACCTGGCAGCATTAAGCTTCAATTGGACTCGACTGTGCAGAGCAGTGCAACTGAACTCAAACTCCAACATGAAGTTAACCTGCAGACAAAGAACAGAACAGCCTGCTGAAGTGACACATTTCATCTGGAGGAAGTGAAGTATGAGTGGGCTGAGTTGAAAAAGTGATGACGCCATTTCCCTGGCGCAGACATACCTTTGACTGAGAGCGAAATACTGGATAACTGACATTACAGGAGTGGCTGTTGGCACTAAGTGCTGTACACTCAATCTTAAAGTGGGCATCCTCCTACGATGAAAGAAAAGAGAGATGAAGAAAAAGAGGTTGTGTATGGTTAGATACAGTACACATGATCGTTCATGTGTAAGCAGTATAACTGGTTTACCCTAATGCTGAGGCTGGAGAAGTGCAAGTTGCGTGAATAGTGAAGCGTCAGGCTGGTGTTGTAGGCGTTTTCCAGTCTGTTCTGGAGCTGCACCTCCACTGCCAGACGCCTACGAGGACTGCGAATCACATAAGGCTTCTGTCTGTGGCACACACACAATGAAAATTCCCTGAAACTTAACAAGTGAGTAGATATCGGAACTCGTTAAACTGATGTGGAAAGACAAGAGAATAGAGGAATATTTCAAACCTGTACCTTGTCCCAGAGATGTCCATGTGAGCCTGCAGCACCAAATCTGTTGTGCACACATCATCCTCACCGCAGTCTTTAAAAAACGGGATCTAGACAGTGGAGGGAACACGTTTGATGAAAGAAATGAGGAAGGAAATGTCATCCAATAATAAATTTCTAATGATAACCATCAACATTGTGCCACTCACAAATTTCTTGACAGAGACTGGCCAACCTTCATCCAACACCGGACCACTCTCTGTATTGTTGATTTTAAACTGCAGTGAGAAGCTGATGGGACGGATGTAATCTGCTGTGTCCTACATCAATGACAGAAGCAAATGTTAGTGTCACTGTGTCCATCACGATGCCATCTGAATAAAAAATGGAAGGCGTTTCAGTGCAGCTGGTGTGCAAATACTGGAGGCTCTCACATAGACATGGAAGGGCAGTTTGTAGCAGAGAGTTCGTCCTGTGTGAACTTGCACCGACAGCTGGGTCTGTCGGTGGAAGCTGTCATCAAACAAGGCCCTTGCTGACAGCTTTCTGTCATCCAGCATGGCCGACACCCACAGATCTGTTGGAGAGAGTAGGTAATTGGGACAGATGGTGAGTGTGTAATTTTCCTGGCCAATTTACAACACATACAGTCCTTCTTGTAAGGATTTCTGAGGGTATTTCTGTGAATTTTGTCAATATGAAATAAATAAAGTGTCATACCAAAACTATTGCTGTGTGATCCAGGGGAGCGAGAGAAGGCTGTGAAGCAGGCAGTGGCATTGAGACAGGCTGATTCTCTGCCTCCCCTCTGGCAGGTCTTCTGAATGACATTGATGGAATGCGGCTGGAAGGACAGACTCACATTGATCTGGACTATGCTTCGAGAGCTGGAAAAAGAGTGACAGTGGATGATGAAAACAGGATTCAATTTTTAGCCACATGACTCCTGTGCTCCTCTCTTCCCCAGTTTTTTATATGCCACCATTACATGTCTCTAATTTTGTGTCTCCTCTGTGCCGTAGTTTGTCCTCTCTCTCTCCCTGTTTCTTTCTGCAGGTATCCCTGCAGAGCTCTATATTAATAAACTGGCCACATCAACCTGCCCATTGTTTGTTGTGCTGATGCTTTTTTTCCTCTTCTCTCTCCTCTATGCACTCAGCCCAACCGATTGAAGCAGACAGCCGCCCACCAACAGCCAGGGTCTGTCGGCGGTTTCTTCTGTTAAAAGGAGTTTTTCCTCTCCACTGTTGCCAAGTGCTTGCTCGAGGGGGATTTGTTGGGTTTGTAAGGCCTAGACCTTACTATGTACATTGTCATGAGATGACTGTTGATGTGAATTGGTGCTATACAAATAATTTGTACTGACACTGTATAAATTTATCAGTCAGGAGATTTTTTTTGAAGCCAGAAAGGAATTTAAATTTTTTGCATTATTCGTTTTATTAATGTGGAAGCCAGCTGGCTGTGGGTGATACCTCTAATGTGTTGTCTAGATTCAGTATCTCCCAGTGCTTGCAGCTATAAAATAAAATCTGTAGTGGCTCTTCCCTCTGTGCCTTTCATCATCTGTGTCTACCCACCTGAGCAATACAGCACTGCCCAGCGCTCCCACTGCCAAGTCTATTAGCTCATCCCCATCCAAGTCCAATCGAACGCTCACACTGCGGCCAAAATACTGCAAGGAGGGGGAAATCACAGACGCTGGAATACGCTGTAAGGGTGGGAGAGGCAGAATCAAAAACACACATTCTTTGAATTAATTCTAAAATGAATGAAT